TTTTTTTTGAAGAACATACTGTTGGAAGGAAAAGAGGCAAGACTTTGCACTCCATGTGACCTGAACAAGCTGCTATGCCTAGCCAACTCATCCACTGAGACACTGGCAGACAGTGCTGTGGGCAAATACTTGAGCAATTTTAAGGGAAACCGTATTTCAAAGGAAGACAATTTCACAAATTTCTAAAGCCACTTTGGAAATCATGTATCCATCATCCTTTGTAGCTTTGAGAGCATTGACAATGCTGTTACTGATATTGTTAGTGAAATATTAAATTCTATTATACATTTTTAAAAAGTATTTACACAGGCTTTATTATATTTTTTAATAATAGGAATATATGTAACAATAGTTATTATCATGAGCATCAATTATAGGACTGATCTGCATAATTTGCTGTACAATATGCAATTTCGGTACAATTTATGGGAATAAATGTATGGCATTATACATTTTTCTTTAATTGCCATCCGTATCTCAGGAAGCATTACTTATCTAAGAAGACTTCTTTCAAAATAGTTGACATAATAATTTAGCAAATAATTTCAACTCTATTGGAATTAATACTAAATTTTAAAATTAAATATACTATTTTTTTAAAGAGGGAAATAATAGGATATTTGCTTTTCTTCTACAGCAAATAAAAATGTTCTTTATCCCTTCATTCCTCTTAACATACTGTTTTAGGCTTGCCTCTACATCTCATAATGCACTCTTGAATATCATGTCCCAGCACCATTCTTTTATTCTCAGATTCAACACAAGTCTCTCTCTCTCTCTCTCTCTCTCTCTCTCTCTCTCTCTCACACACACACACACACACACACACACACACACACACACGTGTGTGTGTGTGTGTGTGTGTACACTTGTATACATAATGTACTCAATTAGTGGTATCCTTAGAGAAACAAATTATGCATGTCCTTGTAAATTAAGCTTGATGAATTGTCAGCATGAGATTGATAGACCAAAAATAGAACATAAAACATAGAATCATAGGGCTGAAAGAGACCCTGGAGTTCTTATAGCTCAGTCCCCTGCTCAAGGCAGGAGCCTTATACCATCCTACTCAAATGCTTGTCCAGTCTGTTTTTGAAAACCTCCAGTGATGGAGCACCACAAGCTATTCTATTGATTAATTGTTCTCATTGTCATAATTTTTTCCTTACTTCTAGATTAGAGCTGTCTTTAACAAGCTTCCAGTACCTTATGGAATAAATCAATTTCCATGTGTTTGTGACTTCCCCTCAAGTACTAGAAGACAGTTATCATGTCTCCCTAACCCTTTTCTTTGTTAAGCTAGACATACCTAGCTCTCTCAACCATTTATCATGTGATTTTGACCCTTTACCATCTTTGTTGTTCTTCTCTGCATACTTTCTATAGTCCCAACATCCTTTTTATATTGGATGTAATATTCCCAGCTGTGGTCTCACTAGTGCTGTATAAAGTGGTACTATCACTTCTTGTGATCTTAATGCTATCCCTTTGTTGATGCAGCCAAGGACTGCATTGGCTTTTTTTGGCAGCTGCAGCACTTTATTGACTAATACTTAAGCAGTGATGCACTAGGACATGTAGATCTCTCTCACAGTTACTACTATGTATCACCTATTATGTATCTATGCATTCAGTTTTTCCTACCTAAATGCAAGAATTTACTTTTCTCAACACTGAACTGCATCTTGTTAAATAGGATTCAGTGTTCAAGCTTCTCAAGTTCCTTCTGGATCCTGAGCCTACCTTTCAAAATATTAGCAATTCTCCCACCTCCAGCTTGGTATCATCTACAATTTGAAGAATTATCCTTCTATTCCCTCATCTAAATCATTTATAAAGATGTTGAAGAGTACTGGACCCAAGATAGAACCTTGAGGTACCCCGCAGCATGCTTCACTCTATGTTGATGTAATTCCATTGAAGACTTCATGCTGGGTGCAACTGGTCAGCCAATTGCGAATCGATCTGGTGATGGTGCTGTCTATTTTGCATTTTTTCTATCTTACCAAGAAGCAGGCTATGTTTCAATTTGTCAAATGCCTTACTGAAGTCCAAGTGTACTATGACCACAGCATTTCTTTGGACCAGTAATCTAGTCACTTTATCAAGAAAGGCAATGAGATTTGTCTGGCACAATCCATTTTAATACAGAAAATCATTAATTTCACACGTAGATTTATTTTTTTATTTCTTGTAAGTTAAAGATTTGGCCTGACAAATATTTTTATTGCTTTACTTGCAGAAAAAAAAGAAATTTCTCACATGAAAAAATGCAGCCTGACCATGTTGTTGTTTAAAAGAAAAAAGCCTACAAGGACATGTCACTGAAGTCGCCAACTCAAGTAAACTTGATTTGATTTGAATACCTAGCCAATCTAAATAAAAAGGGATTCTTGCTAAAGCTCTCTTGTTTTTTTAACTGTTTATCAATCCTATTAATGCTGTTTTGAAGATCAAATTAGTCAATATGTGGTGAAGTTGTTAGACATTTTCTCCCTATTCCATTTAATCAGCATACACTTCTTACCATCTGTCACTAATTCTATAGAAAAGTTAAAAATAAATTCAGCAGATCTTTGAGGAAGGTATGAATCAGAGAACGTGCATGTATTACATATTTGTTAGTTTAGGAACAGCTAATAATAAAGTGAATGGGCTTGAATTATAGAATGATTTCAATGAATATTGAAAGATTAATTATTATTAATTATCAAGATTAATTATTGAATGCAGGAAAGTGGTATATTAAAGAAGTAAAGCAAAGGTAAGAATAAATGGAATGTTTAGAGAAAGCTTCAACACTGAGCAGCAAGGCAAGGTATGCAACATCCCTTGATTGTTCAGTGTAGCTATGTTTCTTTTTCTTACTTCTTGCACTAATTTTTTTGGCTTACTATTTCTTACTCATTTTCTGAATTTTGCCTAACATTGTTTACTCCAAATGGAAATAGCATGATGGGTCTGTATGTGTAATTGAAAAGAGCAAGCAAATACATGTGCCATCATCAATAACAATAATAGTTTAGCTGCCTATATGTTCTTTTCTGTCATGAGGTTACTAACAATGGGAGGAAAATAAGGGATAGGGAAAATTAAATATCGTCTGACCCACTGTTTATCTCCTGCTCAGAATATCCAGATGAAGTTGCTAATTATTTTCTTTAAAAATTGGGTTTTTTTGTTGTTTTTTTTTACTAAATCTGCCTTATCATGTATCAGTTTTAACTGAACAATTTGTTTTCCAGGTACAGAAGTATGGGGAAGGATGGACATTTGGAAGGTAGTTCAGTGGCAGTATGTAGTACCATGGTCCTTTAAGCACCAGTGATAGCTGCCGATGTGCAGGCTGCTCAAGCAAACCCACGAAATGCTGGGGGTGTAAGATAGAAAAGGTGACACATCACAGTAAGTGAGTGGGTAGCAAAATGTCAGATACCCTGCCAAGATAAATCAGAAGGGCACCAGTTAGGTCAAGGTCACATTGTTGGAGGGAAAAAACATAAGGAAAGTATGAAAGATTTCATAAATATGTACTCTAGTTCAAGGAACATAGCCTTCTTTCTCCCTCTCACCCCACCTTGCTGCTGTGCATAGTCAATCCATCCACAGATTAGTCATTTAATCCAATCTTTTGATGGAGCATTTTATTACAATTTTTTTTTAAAAAGGATTACTTCACTCACTCTGACCTTGAATTTGGTATAGATATCTTGTATGCACCTGTTGTTTATCTCTGCTCCCTGTCCACAGATTGAAGCAGGAAATACGGAATGCAATACAATCTAGAAGATACTTCCTTTTTCTTCTTTTGAATGAAGAGAAAATGTTTATTTACATCATAGCTCTGAATTCTTTATTACTGACAGAACACAACACTAATTGCAAATTGCAGACTCACATTAAAGGCAGAGAACTTCAGACTGGACACTAATTCAGGCAACAATAATCAGCTATTACATCTTGAAAGTATTGTGATAGGTGAAATGGTTTCTTATGTCTACACATGACAAATAATGTGATAATTGGCAGGCATATATAATTTTCAAATCTTAAATTAATAATATGCCTACATCAAAGCTTTGATGATTCAGGCACGGCATCTAAAATGTTTAATAACTGAAGAGCTGAAAGGAACAGGGCAGTGAATCAAAGTTGGCCAACCATGTTACTATACGGGCAGAGTTGGGCCTTTCAGAGTTTTCCCCTGAGTTTTGGGGTTGTTGAGAAGTTTTCTGTTTAAGTTATATCTATTTTAAGGCTTTCACTACTGATTTCAAGTAATTTATTCCTCACGAAAAAGGTATCACTAATTTTCAGCAATAGTGATTAGAAATGGAGGCAGACTCTAGGAGCTAACAGAATTTTAGAAAGAGCTAATAAACTACATGCAGCCACAAAGCCACCAATTGACAATGTACAACCTACATGCTCTTGCTAATCAATACAATAAACAAAATAGACTGGAATTATTGCAGGCAATTCCTTGCAAGTTGTCTTGGGTTGTTGTTTAAGTTACCTAGAGTTGCATTAGTGAAATGAGTGACCATCTAAATTGTTTAAATGAATACTATATAAGTCTGCTAGACAGAAATTTGAAAAGGATCATTTTGACAAAGATCCAAGTTCATTGCAAACTATGAATTAAAAATATCACAGATGAAAATACTGCATAGTGGGCTTTTATCACAAATATTAATAAGAAAGACAGATAGATGGCCAATATAGATGCCAATGTGTTCCAGTCGATCTTAGTTTGCTAAAAAAAAAATGAACAGAAAAAAGTAGTTCTATAACATTATTGGAACCCCAAATGAGGAAGATTATACTTTAATGATGCCCATCCTCACAGAAGACTCAGCTAGTCCTCACAGAGCTATCAATGTACTGCAAAACAATTTCACAACAGGAAACAGAAATAAAAAAGGGATCAATCAGAAGCATCCCATAAAAAGAGAAGGCAAAGATACATGGCCAAAATCCAATTTGGTTCCACACATAGTTCATCAAATGACCATGAAGATAATAGCTGGAATATTAAGAATAGATGCAAGTCCAGGAGGTAATTTTATTTTATTTTTTCTAGATCTGCCTCCTGAAAAACTGAAGGCTTTTAAATCAGAGGTTCCAGAAAATGCACCCAGGGCCCAGCTGTCAATAATCATAGTCATTTGGAGAGGATCCTTCCTCAGGTTATTCCTGGATAGCCCTTTTCTTATCAATCGTTTGAATTAGCCAAAGATTTCCAAGTCATGTGAGTATTTCAGCACAGAAGCCATGCTTCTTTTTGTGTGTTTTCTTAGAGAAGAACTCCTATTTTAGCCAACGTTATTAAGTTTAAGAAAGAAATAAAATACAAATTTACAGGAAAAAAAGTTGGAAAAGGAGGGGATCAGGAAAAGGGAAAAGGAGTTAAAAAGTGACAAGAAAAATATGGAAAAAATACAAAGGGAGTAACTTCTGACTTTCTTAAGTATAGATACAAATACATAAAATGTAACTTCTTATTCTAAAACAAAAAGACAAAAACGTAATAGAGAAAGTATATAAATTAAACAATCAAAATGACACCATATTTTGTACTACACTACATACAATAAAATAGCCTCTTACTCCAAGTTTAAACATAAACAAAGATCGGGTAAACATGTCTATTAATAACAAAAATACTGAAGAATTCTCTAATCATAGCAGATATAGTTATCAAATAATAAAATTGAAATTCCATTTTTTATCTTTCTTAAGCATATTTCTAAGGGTTCAGAGCTTCCTTGTTTTAGATCTGAGCTGAAACTGTTGCTAACTCAGATAATTTTATTTTTGGAGATTGGAGAAGAGAGACTTCTTTTCCATGATTGATGATTCCCCACAGGAATGGCATTTCTTAGGCTGCTACCCTCTTTACTATATTAACTAAATCAGATTATGTATGAGAAAACGGGAAAACATGCATCCTTCATCCTGTGTAACTATTGCTCAGAAATTGTGAAATTTACTTCAGATAATCCTAATCCTAACATTAATGCTAACCCTAACCCACAGAAAGATCCTGAGCAGGGTTGGTCCCTGGAAAGAATATAAAGAAAGAAAAAGGAATCATCTTTAAACTTCATTAAGATTTAGGAAGCAGATATATCTGGATATCAGTGAAAACATGCAGGAATATTGTTGAAAGGAACAAATATGTAAAGGGATTGTTTAATTTGGATTTTTTGTTAGCATTGTTGGAAAAACTGAAGCAATTTTCAGTGCAGTTAAAATACAGAAATTTGAGCAGACCTTGAATGCAATAATTTGGAACATTGAGATAAAATGTATATATTTGGTATAGAAAATAGTGGCAAAAATCTCCCGTAACAACATTGGAATTGGCATAAAGAAAAAAGTAGGAGATCAAATGACTGAGATGAGCAACTAATTAATAAAGTCTACTGCTACAAAAAAACCAAAGGTAAAGTCAGAGGTATTAATATCAATGTGAAAATCACCTTAAGGGCCAACAAAGCAGCAGAACTCTCTGGGTGGATAATTCCAAATATCAGCCTCTTGACAATAAAGGTTCTACCTCAATGGATTCATGACCATCCAGGTGAGCCATAAATGTCAAAATGGTCAAATGGATCAGATCTTCTTGTAAAGTTAATTATGTAAACTAAAGATATTTTTATTCTGTTTTATTCTGTTCCTTTGGAGGGTGTTTCCTTCTTAGCCATGATTAAGAATATTTATTTATTTATTTAACAATTTTTTATAGCCAGTCAACTCACACAAAGATGACTTCCTGGCAACTTACAACATTTAAAAATCCACAACCTAAAAACCCATAAAAATCCCCCCAACTCCTGGCAGCAGCAACACAACTAAATCATCGTATAGAGGAAATAGATGGAATGAAAATTTAGTAGACAGACAGATCTCCAGCCCCCTGACAAAACCATGTTTTTAGGTCCTTTCAGAAGAGTAATAGAGTGAGGGTCAACCCTAGATCAGGAGAATGTGTTCCATAAAGAAGGGGTCACCATAGAGAAGGCCTTTTTCATGGTCCCACCAGATGTATATCCCATATTGGTGGGATCCATAACATACCTTACCTTCCCATCCTAGTAGGTTAGATGGATGTAATAGGGGAGAGATCTGGCTCCAAACCATATAAGCCTTTAAAGGTGATATACAGCACCTTGAATTGTATCTAGAAGCAGATTGGCAGTCAGTATAGCTCCCACAAAAGAGGTGATACCTGTGCAAGTCTAGGCTTATACAAAACTGTTTGAGCTACTGCATCATGAATAAAACCCAGCATCATTCAGACTTAGGAATTTTCTAAGGTAGTTTGCTCATCAAAACAGTTGACAGTGTTAAAAGAAGATAGAAGCAGTTAGCTGTCTGAACAGCTGATTGCTGTCGATTGCTGAGTTAAAGGATAACATTTGTCTCACATAAAAGTAATGAAACAATCAAAAGAAAAATGTGATTAAATTATTTAAAATGGATAAATGAAAGATCAATTCAACTTTTTTAAAAAAATTCTTCTTAGAAATACTTGTTTTAGTCTACTAAACATCTGGGAAAAGGGAATTAAATGGTTTCAGTTGATATAGATGTTTGAATTACCAAGTCTGCTTTAATTAACAAATCAGTAAAGATCACAAAGTCAGTATAACAGGACAAACTTTCACTATTTAGTAGCAGCTATTTCAATGAACTTGTCCATTTCAGGTTGGCTTTGGACCATTTATGGGGCATAAAAGAAGTTTGTTATACTACTTTATCTGATGGTGAAGCCAGGAACAAGTAAGAGGGAAGTAATGTTCCCAGGAGTTTTTTATACAAACAGACATGGTGTTTCTAAGCAAGCAAGCTTTGATATACTTATTAATTAAATTTATATGCTGCACATCTCACTGTTTCAATGACTCTGGGCAGCTTACAAAATTATAAAAGGATAAAAATATAATACAAAATGATTAAAATTAAGAAAATTAAATTAGAAACTAAAAATCAAGAGAGTGTGTGATATATGTGGGGTCTTCTCTCTACCCATCGCCAGCCATCTGAGGCAGGGTTTTAGGCTCTTTTGGAAGACCAGGAGTGTGAGGGCTGACCTCAGCTCCAGCAAAAGAATATTTTAGAGAGGAAGAGGGTCATAGAAGAAAAGGCTCTTCTCCTGGACCCTGCTAGCTGAAATTCTTCTAATTAGAATTGCTTTAGATAGAATAATTTTTCACTGATTCCCATTCCTGTTTTGGAACAGCAGTTTCAGAGGTTAAGGAAGATTCTCGCAGGTTTGAGTATTGTGTATGGTATGTTGCAATCTTATCTAGTCCTTTGGAAGCTGGCAGTAAGATCATCCAAATATGTTGATTGTGAGGTTATCAATATGCTCATGATATCCATCTGTTTTTTCCATCAAATCTCAGAGAAGCTATCAAATGCCAGCTCCACACAGATTCTTAGCCGCACAATGGGCGGCTATTTATTGGTTTCAGTGCATGTGTCTATTTTTTCAAAGTGGAGCCCACCTTTCAAGGAGCCCCAAACCTCTGGTGCTCCACTGTAGAAATGGTGTTTTCTATATTTTCCTGTTTCTAGACTTTATAGGTGGGCAAAAAAGGGTACACTGATGCATATGAGGGAGGTGGCCTGAAATTATATATTCTGTTTCAGCTCCTTTTAGTTCTGCTGATTCCTATGGAATCAGCCCTCCTCTCTCTCCATAAAGTCTTCCTTCACCCTTGAGTCTTTTTTGGACTACAAGTACAACAAGATCTGAAATAGCCGCTTTTTGTTTTCCGTTAATGAATGAGGCAGTCAAACCTACCTAATCAAAACAGTCAGTCTGTTTTTGGCTTAACACCTATACTAGAAACTGCAAATGAAAGAACTGCAACACAAGAACTCAGCTCTTGTGAATGTTTCTACTTTGGTTTATTTCATTTTATTGTTGTAAATTTCTTATGATTATGCAGATGAGCTAAGAAGTGGTCAGTGCACTGGCTCCTATGGGTAATTCATAGCGCACATACCACAGGTTGCCCCAGATCACATTTTGGGAACCTCCAAATGTCTGGAGATAAAAATTCAAAAACAAAGAATTTTGGGAATGGCTAAAATAATTAAAATACTCCTACCCATCTATTTTTTTTTTTAAAAAAATGCCAGGATGTAATAAGGAAAATTTATAGATTTTTATTGAAATAATGAAATTGCCTATGAACTCTACTAATTGTACCACCCCCAACATACCATGCCAAGTTTCAGCAGTGCTGAACAAATGTGACAAAAAGATTTACAGCTTTCATTTTTCTTCTTATTAAAGGAAATGGCCGGGATTTCTTTTTCTGAACATTCGAAGCTTAGTTGCATTGATGTAAAAGATCAGCAATTGTTTGAAGCAAAAGGTAAGGAATAGTTTATCCACGTAGACAAAAATTCTGGAAATGATAAGTCTTATTTCAGCAATGAACATTTGACTAAAAGAGCACTGAATCTTTGATGTAAGTTGAAATACTTAAAACAGAATATTATGTTACTTCCGAAATCCATCAACAACTAGTCTCCATGGTAGCCAGAAATTTTTGATTGGCCAATATGATTAAAAAAATAGATATTCAAAAAATGTGGCAAGCAGTGCAAGTTGACTCAATATTTCATATATGCCAAGTTTCATAAATCTAAAATATATGCTTTTTATTTTATAGCTTGAGAGAAAAACAAATGAAGGGAAATCTATGTTTCACACACTACCTATAAAATAATTGAAACAATCAAATGTTCACATTGAACTCAACTGCTGGTGAAAACATAAACATGTCCATTGTACTTATTTGGGAGAGATCTGGAATTGTTTGCACTGGTTTTTTATTTTTTTATTTTATTTTATTATATCTGTGTTAATCAAGGTTCCAATAAATCTAACATCCATGGGCATCCACAAATTATGACATATCTTATAGGATCATCATACAAATGACATGACATTCATACTATTTTAAATTTCATAATTGTGTCACTTAGAAAACAAATACCATGGATACGCAATTTGATTTTGATGTTATAATAGCTTACTACAGGCTCTGCTGTTGATATCCAACTATTTTTTCTATCTTTAAGGATCATGGGAAAACATATAATAAGAAGAGTGAAATGAGACTTTTTGTTCTGACAATGAAGATGATTGCTGCTATGAATAAGCAACTATATCTGACATGTAAATCCATATATCCTGGAGAACTGAATCATTATTTTAATGAATCAGTAGATAAAGATAAACAGATGAATACATCTAATATGGCTAAGATCAAGTTTGCAAATGGCAATTATTAAAGATATAGTCAAATGAATATACATATCAACTTGATCATCTATTTTCTTCTGCTGATGTCTTATTTATCAGGTTTTGATCTTTGAGTGTACAACTCACTAATGGGAGAATAAAGATTCTTGCTTAACATTGTGAGGCTTTGCTAATAATCTTTTAAATGAATGGAAATATCTAGAAAATTTTAAGATACAAATACTAATTGTACATTGTTATTCTGTGATATATGATGGAAAAGTGGCACTGGGAAATGTAAAATGTTCTTTAAAGTAGCAGCTGTCCTAACTAAATTATGAAATATTGACAACCAGAAAGATATCTGGGATTCCAGGTCTGAAACACAAGTTTATAAAGGACAAAAACTCCAGATATAAAATAATAGCATACAAGCTCCCTAAAACTTTAATTACAGAGTCATTGGTTCCTTTCCAAAATTCAGAGAAATCGGGTGAAGAGAATCCTGCTTCAGTTTTCTTACTTTACTCTGTGTCCTTGAGAATTTTCTTTCTTTCAAATTTCTCCCTGTGATGTTTTGTACTTATTTGATTGTTGGAGGGGATGAAGAATGCTACTTTTGTGTTGTCCTTTCTTACACCTCTTTTGCACTCCTGTTGTTTCCTGTGAGGTTTACTTTATGTGGCAAGCAGAGACAACAGTGAGTGTGGGAGAATGATCAGGTGTGTTTCCTTCATCCTGTCTGAACCCTCCCTAAAAGAAAATGCAATGTTTTAGATATCCCTTGGAACCCTGCCATTTTAATCTACTCACAGTATCAGGAGGCAATATTTTAAATACTAAAAGAAAACATTACATTAAGCATTGCTTACTTACTGTATTAAATGGAAAATCAGGGGAGAGGGAATTTCCCCATCTAAAAGCTCTATGCAAACATGCCAGGCTCTGATCCTCTCTATTACTTGCATTTGGCTGAACCCAAAGCAATTTCATTTAGCCTGATAGATTTCTGTTAATGTAAAATTGTAATCTCTGTGACAGTTAAGATCAAATACCCAGAGTTCAATCTAGGAGTTATCCCAAAGAAAGTAATGTAGAAATTCCAATAGACTTAAGCAGCTTTGCTAACTGAGATGAGAAATAATTCACACCTTTCTCCCCATGGCACATAACCAGAGAAAAGACAGAAGAGTAATAGCTATTTCTGTTTCCATGTTTACAGAGACCATAATTGGAGTGCCTTATTCAAGACAGTAAGCCCTGTTCTCCTACTAATGTGTGTACAATCTATCAATCAATGCACAGGAGGGGGAGATTGGGATCATGCTATCCTGCAGTGTAAAGCAATCTAGCATTTTTCAAAGGCAATTAGAAGAAACAAGAAAAGTTACATCTGCTCTTGCCAATTACTCTATCAATATTTCGGGTTATTCTCAAAGCTGCGAACTTGAGCAAAATTATTCTCAGAGTCTATTGATTTCTAAAATATTGTTCATATTTGCCCATGTTTGCTTGGTAACCACTGCATGAAGCTTATAAGTGTAAATGGACCAACACTGGAAGTCAATGTGTACATCCTTTCTTCACTATGCTTTTATAATAAAATCATTATTTTTGAATTTGTTGGTTTAGGACAGCTCTGGAGCCACATGCGGCTCTTTCAGCCTTCTTCTGTGGCTCCCAGTCCTCCTCCGCCATTTGCAGAGAGAGAGAGAGACAGAGACAGAGAAAGGCACTTCCACTTCCCTTCTCTCTCTCTCTCTCTCTCTCTCTCTCTCTCTCTCTCTCTCTCTCTCTCTCTGTCTCTCTCTCTCTCTGTCTTCATGTGGACTTGCCCCCTTGCGGGGCTCCTGATTGGCCCTGCGCCCAGGCACCCTGCCCCTTGGGAGAAGCGCAGCCAGGAAGTCCGAGGTGTACGTGGCCGGGGAGCCCCAAAATTCCCCCTGAGACCGGCCTGCCGGAGCATCCACTGAGCAGGCCAGCCCTCCTGCAAGCCATGGCCCTGAGGGAGCATAGCCCCTGTGATCCCCAGCCAGCACTACCATTGGCCCTGCTGGCCAGGAAGGCGTGTCGGAGTCCCAGCTGCTGGGAAGGAAGAGGAAGATGCAGCAAGGGCAGGAGAGGAGAGCTGATTTAAAGCCAGCCCAATCAGCTTGTCAGAGAAGAATGTGAGGTGAACAGAAGATCGGGGGAGAGAGAGAGAGAGAGAGAGAGAGAGAGAGAGAGAGAGAGAGAGAGAGAGAGATTCCATCTCTCTGAAGAAGGACACACAGGAATGGAGGAAAACTTGGTAAGGGAACATTAAGAACAAAAGCAGCCCCAGACAGATTCAGTGGTAAAGAATGTTAGGAGCATCTCTGCTTACCTGATTTTCTCAAGAACATTTTGTAATTTGAAAACACAGTTTCCTGTTAAGACATTTTGGTTTTCTGAAAACTTTATTTTTCTTTTATTTTTATGCAAAACATTATACTTATGAATACAGTGTAACCTTCCTAACCCAACAAGGTATCATTTCCTTGTTTTTAGATAGATCTACACTTTCCCAAACATACTTTGGCATTAGAAGGAATAACTGTTGGTTCCCAATAATAGACTACCAGGATTGATTGTTATGTGAGGATGTTAGCAACACAATGACTTTAGGAATATAAGAATAGCAATAGTCACAAATAATTCCAGTGCATATATAACAGTAGGAACTTCATATCCCCCTTACATTGATTCTTAGATAGTAAAATCTGTGGCAGGCAAGGCATTTGAATGGGTGACACATATTTATGTTGATAATAAACAAGCAATCACCCTCATCCTGTCATGCTGGAGGATGTCTGCCAAGTGTGCTTGGGTTGTCTCATTGATTTGAAATCCTATGTAAGAAATAGCCCTAGCAAAGAAGGGAGCCAATCCGGTTGGTTTATTTCTGAGAGAGAAGGTCATCATCCAGGACTTGACTGAGAAAGAGAGAACATTTTTAGAAAATGCATGTCATGTAGGAAACCAAGGAAGGATGTTGGACTGCTCAATAGGAACAGCTTTGAGTTTGGCATTTGAAAGGCTGAAAGATAATCCCTGGGATTTCCAGCATGGCATATTCCTTTTAGGAAGTCCCTCTGAAATGTAGACTCTGCTGAGGCTGGTACTAATATGGAGTGCTTTTGGCTTCAACAACTAGAAATCCCCAGAGCAGATGCCATTTTAAGCCAATCCTGCTCAAATCTACCCTCATCCCCAACTCACAGTCACTAAAGGTTAGTATGGAAGCAGGAATTATCTAATATAGCTCACAGCTGAAAATTGCAAGAAAATTATTATATTGCCAGATTTTGTAAACAGATATTGACCTCAGAAAACTCTCCCGTGTCTACATGCAAAATGACCAGCTTTTCCTTTCAGAAGTCAGTTATTTTCATATGTAAAAAAAATATTCCTATGATTTTACACTCAGGTCAATTTATGCTACATTTACTTTCTATACTGCCTCCCCAACTAGGCAACTGCTGAATAATATAACCAAATGGATGACCCGCTATTCAGTAAATGGGAAGCAATTATGGAAAAGAATTTGTTTGTATATCATTGATTAATGTGAGGATTTCCAATCTTTCTGGGTGAGAAGACATATGTGATGATTGAGAAAACGTTATTCACGCTTTCTCAAAATAATACCATAGGAGAGATTTACCATTCACAAAGTTCTTCCATATTTGGCATAGCCAGTCACAACATACTTTAAAAACTGGTGAGATTTCATATTGTCAGTATGTTTCATCCTATGAGCTACCAGCACTCAACTTTCTCTTGATTATTTTTGTCTTCTTTTCCTGTTATGCCCTAATACACTTTTTCTCTACTTTTTAAAAAATATTTTATTAAAGAATTTTTAAACCTATAAACAATATAATTTTAGAGATAAAATAAAATAAAGAAAAATAGTAAAGCGGTTAAAAAAGAAAATAAGCAAAAGAAAGGAGAAAGAAAAAGAAGAGAGAGGCTATAAAAAAGTAGATTCTAATCTTTTTAGCCACAATTAAAAATGAATTTGTATTTAACCTCTCTCTTTAATATTGCATGTAATTTCCTTCTTTCCATAGTTTACCCTTCCTTATCATCAAACCCACAAATCACAAGTTCATGTTTTTTCTTTTGTTCAACAAAAAGTCCATAAGGGGTTTCCAGTCACTAATAAACGAGGTTATTGACCTTTTTCTAATCAGACAAGTCAATTTTGCCATCTCTGCACTTTTCTTCTACTCTTTTAATGACATAGCTCTTGCACCGACATAGTTTAAAGCCTCAGCATGACTTAATCCAGAATTGCCATTCAATTGGAGTTTTAGGGAGATGATTTGGGGAGGAAAAAATTATCAGTGGAGAAAAGCATAATTATCCCTTTGTCACTCAAGATTCTATGGCTGCTTTTTGTAAAATGAGTATAAGGAGTTAGCCCCCACATGGGATAATGTAATGACCTTCATGAGACATGTTACAAATATTGTGCTATATTCTTTATTTCTTAGTTCCTAAATCAAAAGCAGAGTTAGTGCACTTAAACTGGCAGACCTGCATTGCAATTAGTTGATCTTCATTCACTTTGATGGAAATAAGTAAGCTTAGGCATGATGGTGCCAATTTTTGCAGTCAACCATATAAGATTCCATTTCCTTTCTGCTAGCATTGTTAATAAATCTGTTTTTACCTCGGCTTAGAGCTGAGCTTCAGAGCTTAGCAGCTGAATATTCTTATGAAACATGTGAAAATTTTGTTAAATAGATACAACCATAGTCTCTTGGGTACTAATAGATGGCAAATTGAGCTGTTTGCTGAACCATAGCACATATAAAAGGAAATCTTTTCAGCATATTTTGATTTTACAAAAAAAATAGAATACATTTTTATTTCAT